CACATGGCTGGTATAGTCACAGCAATGACCCCACTTTTGTGGTGCCAGCTTTCTGTATTAGTCAACTTTTTCCGTTTTGCTCAACAAAATACCTAACACCTGCAAATTAAAGGACAGGTTTAATTTAACTCATAGTTTCAGAGAATTTAGTCCATGGTCGGCTGGCTCCAAGGCAAGATCACCACGGTAGAAGAGTGTGGTGGAGCAAAGCCTGACAGTTCATGGCTGTCCGAAGGCACAGCAGGGGAACACAGCCAGAGAGAAGAGGTCACAGACCAGATATAGAATCCCAGGAAATGCCTCCATACCTATTATCACCAAATATATATTTCTATATGTTACAGGTACAACAACATACTTGCATGTCTACTGTCTTATATAGTTCCTTTTAAAATCAGTTTAGAAAAGAAATACACCTTTAGACTGCTTTTTCTAAGTATATAATTACCTTTTGCTGGTGCTCGCTCTTCTTAAAGATCTGGATCAATCTAGGGCAATGTACTTTCACCCTGAAGAATTTCCTTCAGTAATTCTTTAAGACAAGTCTGGTAGGTACTAATTCTCTCAATTATTGTTTACCTGGGAATGTATTTTGTGTTCAATTTTGGAAGATAGTTTTGCTGGGTATTAGATTCTGGGTTGATGCTTTTTTTTTTCTCCACTCAGTTTTTTAAATGTGTCACCTCACTGTCTCTTGCCTACATCAGAAGTTAGCTCTTAATTTCTTTTTAATTTTAAATTTAATTTTTAATTAACACATAATTGTACACAGTTATGGTATACAGCATGATAATGTCAACACATGTATCCAATGTATAATTACCAAATCAATCCATGGATCCAGCCATAGAAACTTTTGTAACTGCAAGTCAAAATAAACCTTTTGCCCTTTAAGTTGTTTTTCCTCAGGTATTTAGCCAGAGTGAAGGAACGCTGACCAACACAATTCTGATAAGCCCTCCAGCAAACACTAAATAATAATGGCGATAATTAATTCTGGTTTTTATATTACAGTAGGTTAACTACTGGCTCCATTAATCCATTATGTACTTAAAATAACTAGAAAAGATTACAGAAGTTCCCAACACATAAAAATGATTAATGCTTGTGGTGATGGAAATGATTAATGTTTGCTGATTTTATTATTACACAGGTTTCAAATTGTTACACTGCATCTCTCAAATATGTAAAAATATGTCTTGATAGAAAAGAGACTGTAATTCCCATCACCTTAGCTAATTTTGTTGCAGATGGGCCCCAGACTACATTTTAAGAAACTCTGACCCAGCTTCTCCCCAACTTGAAACTGAAATAGTTAAGAACAGGTTCTCAGAGAGAAACGGGTGAAGGAGGAAATGCACAGAGGCTCCGCACTGGACGGAGTCTGGGAACAGCCAGTGACTAATGTCCTCAGAAGAGGACGAGAAGGAAGCGTCCACACAGAAGCGGCAGAGCTCAGCTCCTCTCTAACCCTTCAGAAGTTGCAGCAGATCTGAGAGACAAAAACAAACTCTTTTTACATATTATTAAGGGTGACAGCGGACCTCCCAGGGTTAAGACTAGCAGCATGGGTGGCAGGTCAAAGCAGATCAGGACTAAGCAAATGAGCGCGACTGCAGGTGAGACTGGGCGACAGAAAGCCACAGTCATGGGTGGGACTGCATGGGACATGCCACGCGTTTGCACTCGGGGAAATCAGCGGCTCTGTGTTTCACATGAGCTTCTCAAAGGGTGCCACAGACTCAAGGATGCAACCTGGCAACAGCCTGGCCCTGGAAGACCACTGAACCCTGTCTGTAAACCAGCCAGGCAAACTTCCTGTTCCCTGCTACCTTATAATGCTGGCCCCTCCAGTGCTCACGCTGTGAAATACACCGACCACCACTAAGGAAGTACCCAGGAATATATATCAGGAAGCTCATTTGGAAATATATTCAACACTTCACAACATTCCAGGGTCCCACGACACTTTGTGAAGAGCAGGCTGATCCTTAAAGAGGCCTTTACATGAAAGTAGAAGAGATAGCCAATGAAAAGGTAAATAAACCGCAACATAGAAATATAGGAAGCCTATGGCCATACCATCCTGAGCGCACCCAATCTCATCAGAAACATAAGAAAACAACCAAGGCAACATGACTGCTCCAGTAGGACATGTAATTCACTAGTGAGTGACTCAAAAGATACTGAAGCAGATAAAATATCAGGTGAAGAATTCAGAAGAATGATTTTTTAAAATGAATTTCGAAAGAGTACAGCATAACAACAGACAGATCTATAGACAGAGGGACTTGGGGTTACCCAGCTCTGAGAGTGCCGGGGAAAGGCACAAGAGCATCCTTCGGCGATGGTGGACATATTCCACAATTAACTGGTGGTATGTGAATAACTTAGAACTCTGTGAATCTCCTAAAAACTACTGACTCCTTAAGGGAGTGAATCATATGTTATGTGAACTGCACCTCAGTGAAGCTGTTATTCCCAAAAACATCACCTTGTAACCACCAGAGCACGCGTGGTGTGCACTCAAGGCACGCTGGACTCCAAGCCCTAGCAGGCAGGAACTCTCCTGAACCTCCGCCAGGTCACTCCGCAGCAGCTAGCAGCTCCCTTGCTGTCCTTCCTGTTTCTGGCTTTCTCCCTCTCACAAAGCCTACCTGCCTAGCTGTGCCAAGCAGGTCTTCCTCTACTGTCACTGGTTTCTATAATAAGCAACCAGAGGAGGCTGCGGTGGAGGCGGTGGCAGTGGAGGTCAGAGAGGGTTCCCAGATCTGTATCCTCTGCTGCTGTCACCACCTTCCCCCCATCAGATACGGAGGAGAACCTTGATGAGCAGAAGAGGAAGGGCTGGAGGAAAACGTGAAAAGTGGGCCACAAGGGAGACTGAGTTTGAGAGTCTGAGCTTGATTTAAAAGAGGACCAAGAAGACATGCGGAAAAAATTAGACACGAGAAACAGAAAACAATTATTAGTTCCACTTATCTTCTTTGGGTCAAAAATAATGAAATGATATTAATGACAAAAGACTGTAAACAATAAACATGGGGCTGCACAAAGCTGAGTGACACAATTTGCAGCTACGCACAGGGTATTTCGCAGCACAGTACAGCTGTGGACAAGGGGCCAAATACAGCGGATGTCTTCACAGACGAGAACCTTGCGGCGAGGAGGTGAACACCGCGAGACTTCACTAACAGGGTGGAGGGAAGAACAGGGAGACACTGAGCCACCCCGAAAGGAGAACAAGGGTACATCTGGCAGGCGTGGTCCCTCAACTTCCGCACCCCTGGGGGCTGCAGGAACTGATGTCCGCTTAGCCCCACGGTAAGAAGCCTCCAGCTCGGCCTGGGTGGGGGTCTCCCACCACTCCAGCTGCTGCCAGCCTGGGGCTCTCCCCTGAAGTCAGACCGGTCTGTCTCCTCGGCAAGACCACAGCAGGTCTGCCCTGTGCAGCAAGGAAGAGCAGGCACAGAACGGCCTGCGGGGAGTGCGATGCTGCCTGTTACATGGGGTGACAGCAGCTGCCCTGCTCCGTGCCCGGACACTGGCACGCTTAAAAGCAGGCGGTTTAAGAGCGCTTCAGAAAAGAAAACAGCTTTGCCTCTGCCTTGCTAAGTGCGCACGGTTAGAGCCGCACCTCACTCTCTCTACGCCGTATCATGCTTATCTGCTTGCATGAACTGCCTTTCCTACCAGACCACAGGTCACTGCTGCTGTATCTTTGGACCTTTCCCAGAGCCCAGCGCAAAAACTCCTTGTCGCATATCCTCTTTGTGTATTATGAATTATTCAAAACTGCAGAATTTATTCTACTTAGAACCATCTGTAAACTCCAGAATCTACATTTTTACTGGGAATTTATTTAAAATCACTATTACATTCTGACACTCTTTCACTACACAGTAAACACAAAGGAGCTTTTAAACTAACTAAGGGTCTAGCAAAGCCACAAGCCTGGGCAGCCGCCGAGCACAGCTCAGGGGACAGCACTCACCCAGGTGGTATAAGGCTCTGTGGTTAGTCCCCAGCACTGCAAACCACCGCCAGATACAAGCCTTATGAGAGAATACCCTCCAAGAGACAGGACAATGACACACACGACCCTCTGAAGGCAACTCAACACTGTGCTAAGCAATTTCTCCAGCTGCAAATCTAGGGTGAGTATTTCCACTCCTACGATAAGGGACTGAGGTCCACTTAGTTCCTCCCTCTGATGTATCTTCATGCAATACATTTTAATTTGGTCTAACTCTGCTATGCTTTTACTTTGCCTGTTTTGTGTGTGACTCAGCTCAACATTACACTGACTGTGCGACGCCCTCTACGAGCAGTCCTAAGTCCAAGGATGCAAGCTGCATCTTGTCTTCAAAACTCAAGCTGAATGTTCATCGAGGGACACTTTTCCTCTTCCAAATAGCACGGCCGGAGAACCACATCATTTCACGTCTCAGGAAGTCCTCAATAACTGATCAACAGAAAGATTAAACAAGCTTAGATATCTAATAAACTTGACCCGCAGTGGGCAGTCGCACAGCTCCCTCAGTTTGCTAGCACTGCCTAACAAGATACCAGACTGGGTGGCTTTCGCAACATAATTCATTTCCCCACAGCTGGGAGGTGAGAGGGCAGGATCAGGGCTTGCAGGCTTGGCTGGTTTCTTCTGAGCGTCTCTTCTGGGCTTGCAGATGGCTGCCCTGGCTGCATCCTCCTGTGTGCAAGGCCCCTGATGCTCCTCTGGTGCCCCCCAGGCAGACTGGGGAAGGGCACCCTGACAGCCTCCTGCACCTCCTCACTCTTCAGGGGCCCTGTCTCCAGTGTAGTCACGTACCAGGCACAGGTATTAGTGCTTCAGGATACACACCTAAGGGAGCGAAGTTCAGCCTGTGACAGTAACTAACCAGGTTCGGATATTTCTACTCTAGCAACTAGCCAGGCTTAGTTCATCCTGAAAACCAAGCAATCTCTACCAATCTTTCCCCAGAGACTGACAGAGAAGTTACCTGGGGACTACCTCCCATAGAGCCCTCCAGGCCTTCTGTGGGCACCCTTACGTGCTTACTAATTGAAGACACTGGTCCTCACCCATCTGTTGCAATGTGATTTGCATTCTGGGAGTCACCAAAAAGTTGCTCAGCAACAGGTCCCACAAACTGCCTCTGACATCACAGAGAGGCTTTTACAACTATTTTTTCCCTAAAGCACACCAGTGAATTTAGAACTAGGACAAGACATACTCAACGGATGTTTTGCTCTTTCCTGAAAAGTACTGTCCACAGTGAGCGAGCTGCTGGAGAAAGTGCTCAGACATCCTTAATATTTTTGATGTACAGTAATTAAGCAGTTAAGCTGAGAGGCAGTAGAGGGTCCTGAACCCAATCCTCGAAGCTTCCAGTGAATTATCAGGAAGATTTCTTCCCCTTAAATGCTCTTGTATATGACACACTAAGCAAAAAAAAAAAAAAAATTAAGCCAGGTTAGTAGTAGCCAGGTACCTCTTCTCAGACCTTGACACCACACATCCACTAAATGAGTTTAGTAAGACTCGTTCTGTTTTCACACCTATGGTCAAACTGCACAATACACTTCACTGTAACAGGTATATGTCATTTTAATAGAATAAGTGACTCAGAATTCCCTCTTAAGAGATGGTACAGTAATCAGACAACTGCATACAGCTATCTCGTAAGAGTCATGTTTTAATCTTCACTTGAGATTAGCCAAGAAGCGATGTTGTTTTAATTTTCAAATGGCCACCTTTATCTTAAATATACAGCATGTCTTACAGTGCAAAACAACTACTTTTTCTTGGTCAGTACCAATACCGCACCAAATGCGAGTGAAGAGTACCCTACTTATCAGTCCTAGGCGCCTGTTCCTAGCACACAGTATGACTCTGCTACCCCGATGCACACAAACAAGTGGCTTTCCAGGAACTGCCCCCGCTGGTCCTATGTGGCTTCCTCCACTCTAACCAGGTTTCTTACACACCGGGAGGTCGCCTATTAGTGGTCCTACAGTAACTTCAAAAGACCATCACATGAAGACATTTCATCAAAAGCAAGCTATTTAGGGATGAACATCGCCCAAAGAATGACTAGTCAAAGTTTTGGGCAATGCACTATGAGCAAACTCACCCACTATAGATGTACTTAAACAACTTCCACTCTGAATTTTATTTAGCCAAGTGCAACGGTTTCATATACAACACAACGAAAAATGGTAATTTATGAATAGCAAACAGAACTTTATACACCCCTACTTAGTAAACAGGGACAGCCTGCCTCACAAACTTTCGCCCCGCTGCATCAACGAATCGTTTCCTCTGCTCAGGCTTGAACTGGTGGACAGGCAAAGGCTGCTCAGCATCCGTCCTGCTCCAAGTATTCATTTACTAAAGGCTTCGGTTATACATGCTTTGCAGACCACACGTCTCGATGTGGCTGCGAGTTCCCCCTCTCCCTTCTGCACCTGCGGTCCCCTGGTCCTCTAAGAGTTGCATTTTCCCCTCCCATGCACTCCTGCGCCTCAACGGCTGGGAGCCCAGGCGTAGCTGAGCACAGCTCCTGTAATCTCCTCATTCTGGGACTTGCTGGACCCGGAATGTGCAGAAGACCCAGGCGCAGCTCCAGATGCCCAGTCCAGACTCCCCGGAAAGCCTGTACAGGGACCCACCCCGCCCCTCCTGTCGTCTCTAGCTGCACGCAGCCCCGGGCCAAGAGCTCCACTTCCACAGCGGCTTTGCTCCCTTCGCGCTGACAGCGGTCTGCAGGTCGCGACTCCTTTCCCTGCAAACAACCCTCTCTCCTCCAAATACCGCTCGGACCTTGGACAGCGGAGCCCAACCGAAAGGACACTGGCCAAACTTATCTGCTGAATTCACTAGAACCGAGAGAACCGCTGCGTGCATGCAAGGAGAGCTTTAAGAGAAAAAAATCGGAGAACGCCCAAATTCCTTCAGAAGGCGCACGCGGGGCGGACGGCGCCCTCTCGCCCTCCTGCCGTGGCCACGCCCGACGAGGGGTGGGGGCGTGGCCGGCGCGGCGGGGGCGTG